GGACGCTCGACACCAACGTCATCCACATCGTGCCCAAGAACAAGGTCAACGAGGAGGCGAAGAAGCGGCGCGCGCATCTCGTCACGCAGGCCATCGAGAAGAACATCAGGCTGAAGGTGAGTCGGAGTGGCCCTTCCTTCGGATGCTTGCTCTCTTCCCTCCCTCCCTCCCTCCCTCCCTCCTCCCTCCCTCCCTCCCTCCTTCCTCCCTTCCTTCCTTCTCTCCTCGTCCCTCCCTACCTCCCTTCCTCCTTCCTTCTCTTTTCTCTCCTCGTCCCTCCCTACCTCCCTTCCTCCCTCGCTCTCTCCTTTTCTCTTCTCGTCCCTCCCTATCCTCCTTTCCTCCCTCGCTCTCTCCTTTTCTCTCCTCGTCCCTCCCTTCCTCTCTACCTCCCTTCCTCCCTCCCTCCCTCCCTCCCTCCTTCCTTTTCTCCCCTCGTCCCTCCCTACCTCCCTTCCTCCCTCCCTTCCTCCCTCCCTCCCTCCCTCCCTCCCTCCCTCCCTCCCTCCCTCCCTCCTTTTCTCTCCTCGTCCCTCCCTACTTCCCTTCCTCCCTCGCTCTCTTCTTTTCTCTCCTCGTCCCTCCCTACCTCCCTTCCTCCCTCCCTCGCTCCCTCGCTCCCTTTCTGTCTTTGTCCCTCCCTCCTTCCCTCCCTTCCTCGCTCCCTTTCTCTCTTCGTCCCTTAGGTAGCGTTCCCTCCATCTTTTTATTCCCTGCCTCCCTCCTTTAGGTAACGTTCCTTCCATCTCTTTATTCCCTCCCTCCCTCCCTCCCTACCTCCCTCCTTTAGGTAGCTTTCCCTCCATCTCATTATTCCGTCCGTTCCTCCCTCCAATCTTAGTAGTGTTCCCTCCATCTCCTTCCTCCCCGCCTCCCTCCCTTTCTAAAACGTCCCTCCTTTCCTCCCGAGTCCTTTTCTCTCACCCTCCTTGCTCCCCCTCCCCCTTCCCCTCCCCCTCCCCCTTCCCCTTCCCCTTCCCCTACCCCTTCCCCTTCCCCTTCCCCTTCCCCTTCCCCTCCCGCTTCCCCTCCCGCTTCCTTCCTTTACCCTTACCCTTCCCTCCGGCTCAGGGTTGGGTAGGAAGGGTGGGGTATCGGAATCTTCGGTAGGGGTGGAGGGAAGTGGAGGGAAGTAGAGTAAAGAGGAAGGTCTTGTCCTTCTGGCATCGTGGTAGGAGCATGGTTGGGGGAGGGTAAGGGGGTTGTGTGTGTGTGTGTGCGTGTGTGCGTGCGTGTGCGCGTGCGTGCGTGTGTGTGTTTTTTTGCATGTGTTTTTTTGTGTATTTGTTAATATATTTGTGTGTGCGTACGTATTTATATATTGCTTTGTTCTTCGTTGGAGGGTTAGTTTAAGGCAAAAAGACTAGCTTGAGTTTAACTATAGAGTTCTATATCTATAGAATTTCACCTTGGGTTCAGTAATTATTAATAAAGTGGTGTTGGGAATAAAGTAGTTTGTACATAAATGTATTAAAAAAAGAGAACATGCGTAGACTTGATGCTTCCTAACACCGTAAGTAGATTTTATAGGTAATTATTTTTATGACAGCTATTTGATCATACATTCGAAAGACAACCAATAATGCTTTGTAGTTCATAGGTGGCATTTACACTCCGCAGACTTAACATTTACATTTCCCCCCCCACACGGCTCCGGATTTCACGCGGGGTCGCTATAAACAGTAACGCTAGTGAAAAAAAAGTAAGATTGAAAAAATAAAAAAAAGTAATGCAGGTTTGCTTCAGGATGGCTGAACTTGAAACGAGACTTTTATAGCTTACGTGTTTTTTTTTAACGCAATTTTGTTAGAATTTAGATGGTTGTTTATATGTATTGTTATTGTTTGAAAGACATTCTTTTTTTTGTTTTGTTTTACTTTTTTAAATTCCAGAGCATTGTAAGAATGTGTTTTTTTATTAATAACATAAAGAATATGTGTTGTTCATTAGGATAAATATATTAATCCATTGCATTCCCCCACTGAGCTTTCAAGACAAGGTCTCAGTAACATCATAAAAATATATATATTTGAATGACATTAAAATCCTTCTTGTATGAAACTGAAATAATCAAGTTTAAACATGTGTACCAAAATTAAGGAAAGTGAGTTAGGAAATTAGTGGAGTATTAGGTAAGAATTCTGTTATTCTCTGGTTCTTCCTCTCATTCTGCAATCTTCATTCTGTTGTGTGTTTCTCTCCACGCACATGGCAGCCTAAGGAATACGTCTACAAGCAACAACTTGTGGTAAATACCCTCACACACTGTGTATACCTCTGCATGTACACGTATATTGACACTCACACATGTGTTCTTACATCACCATCTTGCATGCCTACTAACAGTTTATTTGTGTATTTATAATTTACATATATTGTTTATATATTTATTTATTTATTTGTTTATTTGTTTGTTTGTTTATTTACAATATTTCATTATTTTTTTTCTTGGGTTGATGGGAAATGTCCTTAAAGAGAATGCAGCTTCCGTAGATTAGTATGATTAAAATACTGCAATTAACGAGAATGTGAATCTGAGTTGCGGGTCCTTTGTCATCTGCATTAACGAAGGGAAGCTATAGAACCGTTTAATGTGTCCTAGATGTTAGTGAACCAGTAGTGATGCATATGCCAAAAAAAAGATTAGTAATAAACCATTACATATGACCATGTACTTTCAATAAAGTGACAATAATACCCAAATTGGCCAAAACATAGAAATATACCTTTCCTGAGCCTCCATATGTAAGGCAGATGTTAACGAGATGCTGGCGGTGCTTCCGAACAGGTGAACCTCCCGAGAAATCAGCTGGCGGTGTATCGCGTGCCTCCCAAGACGCTCATCTCGGACGTCCTCACGATGGTGTGCAAAGACCGCTGCCTCGACCTCGACAACCACGAGATTCGACATCCAGGTCAGTTTCGGTTTGTTTTGTTTTTGGTTTTGTGTTTGTGTGTTTTTTTTTCTGTTTGATATTCAGGTTAGTTCAGATTTTTTTTTCTCGACGTCCAGGTAAGTTTTTTTTATGTTTGACATTCAAGTCAGTTTCCATTTTTTTTTTTCGACAGGTCAGTTCCGATTTTATTTGTGCGTGTTTTTTTTCTGATCGACATTCAGGTCAATTTGTTTGTTTGTTTGTTTATTTGTTTTCTATTGGACATCCAGGTCAGTTCCCCATTTGCTCTCTGTTGATTTTTCTGTTGGTGTCGACGGTGCTGGTAGGAAAATGATTTTGCTGAAAGGTGTGTTTTATTGTTTTGTTGTTGTTCTTTCTATCGTGCATGAAAGTGGTTTAGTTTTTTTGTATCTCTTTTTTAGGTTTTGTTTATTTATTTCTACCATTATCTTGACTTTTTGGTTTAGAAAATGTTTCCTTCAATGTCACTTCATAGGTTGAATTGAGCATCCATGAATCTTTTATTTGTGCTTTGAACGTTCTCATTTTATTACGATCCCACTGAATTGAAGTTAAGTCGAATAAAGTATATTTTTAATGATTATTTTCCCGGTATAAGTGATATCACAAGAGGTCCCTCCAAAAAGACATAGTGACCCCTCAAAAGGAGCCTCTCCGTGTCTAAGAGAAAACCGATACGACTCGATGGGTAACTAGTATCGGCAGATTATTTGGCTCTTCAGAATTTTACGAACTGCATGAGATAGATTTTAAATGAATATGCATTAAGGAAGTTTAAAAGATTCAGAACCATTAGTCGACAGGATATGTCGGTGAATAATTTATTTTGTGTTAAAAAGAGAAATGATGACTGTGCTTAATTTCTGTAATTGTAAATATTTTTCCCTGGGAGATTTTTTTTTTTGTTGTCACACATTACACTTTGAAGTATAAAGTATTATTATGATTTACAATGGCGTTTGGATTTAACAGACAGGAAATATGGAGCCTTTTTTACGTGTGTTAGAAATGGGTTTCCTGTGTAATTTCTTAAAACTTGAGGCGTTTAAGAAGATAAGATGAATTACGTGCGTAAGAAAATGATAAGACTCAATTTCCTAAAGCACGAAAAATGTATCAGATTTTGGAGCTGGAACTAAAGAAAAATAAAGAGGAAGAGAATAATAATAATAAAAAAATGATTCCCCCGGAAATAAAAGCACCGGAAGAATATTTTCCCATAATTCCGTCTCAGAACACACCACGGCAGTGACGAAGAAACAAAAAAACAAAGAAAAAAAAGTCAGAATATAAGACTGTAATCATAATATCCGAGGGCGATGAGACGCAGAGGAAATCGGCGCCGCTTCAGGCTGTGTGTCAGAGAGGCGATCTCCCCCCTCCCCCCTCTCCCTCCTCCCTCTCCCTCCTCTTCCTCCTCTCCCTACGCCCCCTCCTCCCCCTCCCCCCCTCCTCCCCCTCCCCCCTCCTCCCCCTCCTCTCCCTACGCCCCCTCCTCCCCGTTAATGTTGTTTACATGTTCCTCGTGTCTGAAATTTCGGTCTCGAAATGGTGTTTGTTATTCGTGCGCAAAAAAAAAGGGGGGGGGGGGAGTAAATTGTACATGATAGCCGTGAGAAAATCGTGCGACTGATACGGCGGGTGAGTACGAGCGTATTTCGGTATTTTGGAAGAAGGGGTACGACCTTAAATTTTTGGAAGAGGAGAAGATCGCGTTACAGATTTCGTGGTATGAAATTTAAGATATATAATTAGATTGATGGAATAAGACCAAAACGCAAAAAAAAAAAATAAAGATTTATCTATTCACTGGTATAGATGAAGTTGTTGATGTTCATCATTATCATCATCATCAATATCTTCGTTATTCTTCTTCTTCTTCTTCTTCTTATTATTATTATTGTTGTTGTTGTTGTTGCCGTAAATATTATCTCTTTTTTATTAATATTATGATGATGATACCAACGGCGTCTGTATGAATGCTTGTATTGTATTGCGCAGTATTCCAGTGTAAGTATTTAACTTTTATCTCAAGTTGCCTCCCACCAAAAAAAAAAAAAAAAAAAAAAAAAAAAAAAAAAAAAAATTACTAAGGTGTAATTCAAAAGTAGCTGGCGTGATATTTTCAGAAAGTAGCCTTCTCGCCCGCACATACACATACATACAAAAGCACTTACGCACACGCACGTTCACGCAAACACACACACACACACACACACACGCACGCACGCACGCACGCACGCACACACACACACACACACACACACACACACACACACACACACACACACACACACACACACACACACACACACACACACACACACACACACACATACACACTTAAATCTGCATCTGCATCTACTATCTATTACATAATAGATGCAGGCAGATTTCATTGTCAAATTCCGGTTTTCAATTCTTTTTATTTAAGTGCCACGATACATACCTTTTACAAATAGCATTTTTTTTATCCATTCCATTAAGCCATACCCAGACACTCTTATACGAGACAGACATAACCTAAACGAAATGCAAATCAGAGGAACGGACGCGAACGCTGCTACAATGAAGGCCGGGATACGCAGCGGCGGAGGAGGAGGCGGCGAACGCGGCGCCCCTTCCAGCCAGCCATAAAATAAACCTTCATTTAGGCGTTTATCTTCCATTTTTTTTCTTTTCTTTTCTTTCTTTTTTTTTTGTCTTTTTTCAACAGGCCATTTAAGTTTAGGTATTTCAGGCTTCTTCGTTACGGCTTCTTGTGTTCTAACCTTGGGACGGCGACTTCGGTGCGGTTAAATAGGGTAATGGGCGGGGAAAAGTGTTGTTTGTTTGTGTTTATCTTTGTTTTTCCAAATTTAGGTTCGGTTGGATTCTAGTTAGTTAGTTTTAGCATTATAGATAAGACATGATATTTATTGATAAAAGTTTTCATTATTATTTTTAAAATATTATTTATTGATTTATTTGATATTCATTATTATTTTTTTTATTATCATTAATACTATTATTATTGTTGTTGTTCTTGTTTTTGTTATTGTTGTTGAAATTCTTTTTCTTGTTTATTGTTTATCATTCTTTATCATCTTCATTAGTGGTAATATGAAAGTTATTATTACTATTATTTATTATTATTATTATTATTATTATTATTATTTTATCATCATCATCATCATCATCATCATCATCATCATCATCATCATCATCATTATCATCGTTATCACTATAATATTTATCATTTTGTTTTTAAAGCGAATAGCGAGGAGAAGAGAGGTTATCTTGAAATGCCTTTCTGCTTGGCCGGTGCAAGGAGGCCGCCCATGACCGCTGCTTCGTCTGCGTGTGGGTCTGAGGCGGCCTTTATGGTGGTCGAACGGCTCGTGTGTAATTTGCGCGGGTTTTTTTATTGTGCTGTTATGGAGGTCCGCCTTTTGAAGAAGAAACGGAACACGTGGAAGTTTTCGTTACCGGATTTTTTTCTTTTTCTTTTTTTTTTCTCGCGATGACTGGAATGATGAATAGGCGATCTTCTCCCCCCCCCCCCCTTTGAGAGTGGAATCTCCCCCGAAAACAAAAGCGCGTCGGATGAGCGGCGTCCTCTCTCTCCCCATAGTAACAGAAGACACGTTATGCGGCATTCGGTGATCCCCCACGGCGATGCAGGGCGTCAGTTGCATGGTGATGGATGGTGTTTATGACGGCTGAATCCTTCTCGTTGGCACAAATCTGCAAAAAAATGTGTTTGCTCACTCGACCCCACATTGAATAAAAAAAAAGAAATGTCTTTTCGTCTTTATTCAGAGCAAGTTGACCCTGACGAGGCGGAGTGACTTCTCGGGTATAGTCCGCACATGACGAATCAGCTGGAGTCGTGATAAAGATGCTGGAGGAGGACCACCCGCGGAGGACCTTGTGGGTAGGGGGATGGGGTGGGGGGGGCGGACAGAGGAAATATAAGGAGGGATATTCTGGGTGCAAGGAAATGCGATATCGGTCTGAGGAAAGATAAGGAGGGATATTCTGAGTGTAAGGAAATGGGATATTGGACAAAGGAAATGTAAGGAGCGATAATTTGGTAATTGGATGGAGGAGGAAGGAGTCCGTTGTCATAATAGGTATGGGAAGATTGGTGGAGCGATTAAGGAGAATGTAAGATGAGGGGAAAATGCCGTCGATAAGGAAAGACAAGTTCTCTCAATAGATTATGAATAAAACGAGAGAATCCGAGAACAGAGAACAAGAAAAACAAAAACCAACCAACAAGAGCGACGTCGAGAGTACATGCAGAGCGGCGAGCGAAGAGGACGGCACCGGAAGTCCGCCGAGATGTGCAGGAACGTGACTTTACGACGGCCGTAAGTAGCGCCGCGGTGGCCACGGGGGCGGGCGAACTGACGGCGAACCGACGGCGAAGCAGCGGCACGAGGGAAAGCGAACCGCAGGGTCTGATCCCGGTTCGGACTTCTCTGTCGGGCTGTACATTTATATAAAAAAAGAAATATCTTAATGGGAGAGCTTGTTTTTTTTCGCCGCCAACGGAATCCTCTCGCGAAAACAAAAGAGCTTCGGTATGCGTGTTTGACAGCGCCTCGGAGAAGCGCCCGGGTGGTCACCGCATTCCTCCCGACGACCAGCAAATGACTCCACCGCTTTGATAAAATACAGTAAACAAAAACACAGAAACACGAGTGATAAAATAAATTCGATGGAGGGTTCAAGTAGTTTTTTTTCTCTCTCTCTCTCTGTCAGCATTCCTTCTCTCCGCCACGCGCCGGGGGTCCTCAGCGCCGGACGTACCAATCATGCTGTCATCGCTAATCAGGCCGCGGATACACCTGCTGATTTGGTAGGCGATCTCGAGCTGCCAATCGAGGGCTTGATTGGGCGCCGGTCTTTTGGGCTGGAGTCGGTCCGAATTCCTTGCTCTTTGATGTGTGTGTGTGTGGGTGTGGGTGTGTGGGGGGGGGGTGCGTGTTTGGGGGCGTCTTCTGGATATT